AATCCACCAGATGCTCTGCCGGGGAAGGAGGGACAATCTCCTCCTGTACCAGTCAGATCTGATTTGACAGTACACACTCACAAAAAAATAATAAAATAAAAATTTAAAAAAAATGAGCCTAAGATTTGAACAGGTATTTAACAAATGAGGAAATGCAAATGATCAGTAAATAAAAAATTTACTAATGGCAAAGTAGCCAATGAAAAGTAAACTAAAGTTACAAGGAGAAAGAATTATATACCTGCTGCAATTTTTTTAGTCTGACAATACTAAGTATGAATGAACCATAAAACAATGAGACTATCTATACACCACTGATCGTTTGAAACTAATTTGACATGATCTAGAATACATACACAGGGGACTCTGGTGGCTTAGTGATAAGGATTTCTGCTGCCAACCCAAAGGTATGCAGTTTGAATCCACAGTTGCTCCAATGGAGAAGGACGGGACATCTCCTGTGCTATTTAGTGATAGTTGGAAGTTCAGTTATGAGTCAGTTCTCACTCAATGGTATTCATCAATAACATGCCACCGTAGATCCAGTGTTAATTAAATATCCTATGTGTCCACATGTGCAACAGAAGATAGATAAACAGATAATAGATAGATAGAAAGACACACAGATAGATGATAGAAAGATAGATAGAGAGAGAGAGATAGATAAAAATTTATAGCCACATGAATTTTGGTAAAGAAAAATATGAATGCTGATGTATAATGCCAAACACCACTAAAGAAGAAATGAACCATGGCTGTACACATCACAAAACTCATAAATAATATTAATGGTGAGGGAAGCAAGTCATCAAACAATATAAAGAGCAAAGCAATTTAATATTTTTTCATTTGCATGCAAAATAGGCCAAACTAAACTAGATTTTATACACACACACACATATACACAGAGTAACATTGTTAAAAAAATCCAAAGATTATCACAAAGCCCAGTGGTTCCCTAGAGGTCAGAGGGAGAACTGTAATTAGGAAGGAGCACCATCATATGTAGCACAGAAAAATCTTCCATTACTTGTTGCTGATGTTTGCTTTAAGGAACTCTGGGGGGTACAGTATGTGATTGCTACCATGTGTGTCAATGTGGCCATGATTCTCAGCATCTAATTATCCAATGTGTGGTTAACCCTAATCTCTACGATGTGAATAAATCAGGATTAAGGGTAGTTATGTAATGATATGATCTGCCTGATTTGACATAGGGGAAGTCTCTGCATGGCCTACATTGAGATATGCATGTACTCTCTTGCAGAGCTACTGAGCTTCGTACTTAACCCTGCCTGCTGAATTTAGACTTGCCAGCCTCCAAAGTCAGCAGTCTGTGGCCCTGACTGAGAACCAAGCTCTCAGTAGCCTATGCAGACATCTCTCTCTTACACTGACATCTTTGGACTGACAGATCTGGGACTTGCCAGCTTCTTCTGTAAGCATGAAGCCAATTTCATATAGAATACATATACTTCAAGTCCAAGAAAATTGCTTCTTGGAGATAAATTATGAATAACATTGGGAAGAATGGGAATCCTAGAACATTTAACTGTGCAAAATCTATACAAGAGAGAACCAAACCAGAAATGGGAGGTTACATCTGGAGCTAAGCTAGAACCTCTGTCTTTACAAACTGTCAACACATTTTCATGATAGAAGTTCTCTTAGAGCAATGGGCCTCAATCAGTAGCAAATTTTACTATCTTAGGAACACTTGACAGTATGTGGAAACAGTTTTTGGTAGTCACAACGGGCAGGAGGGAATAAGGTTATTGCCAGCATCTAGCTGTTGGTAGGTGCCGTCGAGTATGATTCAAAGTGGTCCTGTGAACAACAGATCTGAACCCTGTCCTATCCAGTGCCATTCTCTCATCTCTGATCTCACTGATCTCATCTCTGATCCCATTGCTGAAGTCACTGGGTCAATCCACCTTGCTGAGAGTCTTCCCCTCTTTTGATGACCCTACATCTTTCCAATTGTGTCACATACTTTGTTAGATGAGACTCTTCCTTGCAAAATATTATAATGCTCAGAAAGCATCTACTAGGTAGGTGCTCAGAAATGCTACACAATCAACAAAGAAAAGGACAGTCCTCCACAACAAAGAATGATTCAGCCCACAAGACTAATAGTGCTGACAATGAAAATCCAGCTTCAAGATGAAGCTTAGCTCTCCCTAATATTTCATACTTTTTTCAATTTTTTTAATTATTATTAATTTTAATGAGAATTTACAGAGCTTTTGAATTCATTCACTGTTGCATTTTTCTCCCTGCCCACCCTCCTCTCCAGTTTATTTTTCTCTTTGAAAAGTAAAAGAAAAATTCTTTCATTGTTATACAATCCCTCCCCACTAAGTCCACTCCACTATGCAGTCTTCATTCTGGGCTCCTGTCATAACAATATCTAGTCATACATACCTTTTAAACAGTTCTCTCTCTCTCTTCTGTTTCAATGCAGTATATAAAATTAATTTACTTTTTCTCAGTCTCACTCCAACCCCTATGTCAGTCCCATTTTACAACAGTGGCACTATGCAGTATCTGTCCTTTGTGACGGAGATATTTCACTCAGCGTAATGTCCTCCAGGGTCACCATTTTGAATAATATTTCATGAGTTCCTTGTTTTCCAGTGCAGCGTAGTATTCCATTGTTTGAATATACCACAGCTTCTCTATCTGTTCATTTGTTGATGGGCACCTAGGTTGTTTCCAACTCTTTGATATTGTGCACAAAGCCATGATAAACATGGGTGTGCAGTCAACAACCATTTTTGTCTGCTTTTAGATTGCCTCATCGCCATTAATATTCGTCCTGTTCATTCATCATGATGTTGCTCATTGATTTAGTAGGGAGGATTTTAATTTTATGTTGAGGTGTAATCTTTACATAAGGTGCCCATAATTTAACTTTCCTCTTCTCTCTCCCTTACCTCTGGTAACCACCGATTATGGATAATTTTTATATAACTGCAAATGTCAGGTAAGTTTCTGTCCAATGATACCTGATAATGTATACTGCATTGAAACAGATGAGGGAGAGAACTGTTTAAAAGGGATATATGATTAGGCTTTATTGTCATGACAGGAGTCCAGAATGAAGGCTGTACGTTGGAGTGGACTTGGGGAGAGGGACTGTATAGAAATGAAAGAATTTTTCTTTTACTTTTCAAAGAGAAAACCAAACTGGGGGGAGGGGTGGACAGGGAGAAAAGTGCAACAAGGAATGAATGGAAATCCAAAGTCTCTGTAAACATTCATTAAAATTAGTTATAATAATAATAAAATGGTTGCCCACAAATATAACCAATGTCACCAAAGGACATACAGAAATTGAAGAAATATTGTGTATTTTGTTCTGGTCTATGTATATAGGTAAACTTTGAAAATGTTTTTAAAAGAATTACGTAGAAAATAAAGAATTACATAGAAGAAAAGAGAGCTCTATTTACAGTGTCTAGATTATCTCAGTGTACACAGCCAAACTGGCAAGTAACTCACAGAATTATTCTATCATCTATAGGTAAAATGTCTCTTACGATTTACGTCAAAGATTAAGTGGCTATAATTTTAAATCCAACACAGAAAAGATTACTCACCTCTGGAGATGTCTGTATATTTTGGAATACAGCATAGGTAATAAGTGAACTTGAACCTATAATACTGACAGAGATGAGAGATGATAATTAAAACAGGACATCAAGTCTCCCTAAATTGATAATGCAGTTTTCATGTACTTTTATTCTAAATATCAGCAAAAATATTTCTGTACAAAAATTTAAAAAAATTTACAAAAAATAAAAAATATTTCTGTACATATAAACAAGATCATTCTAAAATGTAAATGGAAAGGCAGAAAAAAACTGCTGTTGTTATGTGCTAGTGATTCAGGGCCGACTCAGGGCTGACATTCCAGCGGGTTTTCAGAGGCAATAAATTACACAGGAGGAGAATGCCCAGGTGTTTCTCCGGCAGAGCAGCTGGTAGATTTAAGCCACATGCTTTGGGTTGGCAGTGCAATGCCTTACCAGTGAGACACCAGAACTTCCTACACTAAAACTATTTTTTAAAAAAGAAGAATAAAATAAAAATAATCAATCTATCTTATTTCAAGACATTCCATAGTTACAGTAACCAATACTATGTGGTATTGGTAGAGGGACAGACACTAAGATCAACAGAACTGGACAGAAAATCCAGAAATATACCCACAGAAATACGCTCAACTGAGTTTTGACAAAGGTGCAAAGACCAATAAAATGAGGGAAAGGTGTCTTTTCAACAAGTGGTTCTGGAATAAATGGGCATGCATATGCAAAAACAATCTCTATAGCATAAACAGGGAGAGAACAAAACTGATTATTTGGACTTTCTAAAAATCAAATCCTTGTGCACTCACAAAATGTTTCCAAAAGGGTAAAAAGAAAGCCTACAGACTGGGGAGATTTGGCAAGAACCTTTCAGACAAGGGACTCTTAACAAAAATTTACAGACTACTATAGTACTTTCCCATGGCAATACGTCTTTTAATTTCCTGGCTGCTAGTGCCAAGGGGGTTGACTGTGGAGCCAAGCAAACTAAAGCTGTGAACAATCTCAATCTCTTCACCATCCATCCGGACGCTGCCAATTGGTCCGGTGGTAAGAATCTTTGTCTTCTTGACATTGAGCCTCAATCCATATTGAAGGCTGCAGTCCTTGACCCTCTGTAGCAAGCGCTTCAGGTCCTCCTCAGTTTCAGCAAAGAGTTGTGTCATCTGCATAACACATATTGTTGATAGATCTTTTACCAATCCTGATGCCACATATCTCCTCATAGAGCCCAGCCTCCTGGATAGTATTTCAGAGAAATACTTAAGACAAAAATCTTCAGGATTTAGGGCTTTGCAGGGCTATTCTGGATTCAACATCCTCCTCATTCCCCAAATAAAAACCCCAGTTCAAAAAAAAAGGAAAAAATTAATAAATAGGACCTCATCACGACTTAAAACTATTCTATGAAATTTAAAATTAAAAATAAAATTTAAAATTACTCTATGAAAGATAGAAGGAAGAATATATAAGCTACAACCAGGAACAAAATATGTATCTGGAATATATAAGGTATGTTGTTGTTGTGTACCACTAAGTCAGAATTGACCCATATCTGACCCTCCAGAGGGTTTTCAGAGCCAGGGGGGATTCAAACCATGTGCCTTTGGGATTGTAGTGTGGCTTCTTGCCACTAGGTCAAAATTCAATAGTGAAAGAGAAAGCAATGCAGCTAGAACATAAGCAAAAAACTTAGAGACATCTCACTGAGGAAGATATAAAACAAAAAATTAAAACCTCATTTCTCCCAAGTTTATTTTCACTCACAGTGACCTTTATAGGACAGAGTAAAATGCACCCTTGGGATTCCCATGCCGTGATCTTTATGGGAAATGACTGCCACATTTGTCTCTCTTGGAGTGGCTGGTGGGTTTGAACCGACCTTTCAGTTAGCAGTCAAGAACGTACTTACTGTACTAACAAGGTTCCTGAAGAAGATATACAGACAACAAAAAAAGCGCATGAGAAGATTTCTAACAGCATCAGTCATCTGTGGTTAGATGTCACTGAGATGAAATGGATTGCAGTGGTTCTAATAATGGGATCAAGCATCAGCCACCATGTAAATGTGAATCAAAAGCACAATATAGTATCACTATTTAGCTATTAGAAAAATGAAAAATGCTATCATCAGATGTTCCTGAGGATGCAGAAAAACGAGATCATCCATACACTGCTGATGCAAACCTAAGTGGTATAAGACACTCTGGAAAACAGTTTGGCAGTTTCTTAATAAACATTCTGCTTTCATAGAACATAGCAGTTGCACTCCTGAGCATCTAGCTTGTGAAATGAAGACTTAGGTTCATACAGACACTTCTACATAAATATCTTGATAAGCTTTATTCAGAATAGTAAAGAACCAGAGACCACCTAAATGAAACAGGGAAATGGTTGAAGGAATACATCAAGGACTAGAACTATTCAGCAACAGAAAAAGACAAACCACTGATGTCCACCTGTAGAGCACCACGCCCAATGAAACCGTCAATCCCAGAAAGCAATATACCGCTTGATAACATTTCGTTAACATTTTTTAAAATTAACTTTTTATTCTAAGTTGAGCAAAAAGTTACACAGCAAACTGATATTCCATCCGATTCACATTTACTGTTTCATAAATCTAATTATGCTCTCTTATCACAGTACTCTTCTCATTTCCTGTTTCTCATTGAAATTACTACACTCTAGAAAGGAAAAAGAGACTCACAGCCATCAGGGGCTCAATGAGGGTGGAAGTGTGAGGATGGGGGGAACAACAAAAGGGCCCCCAGAGAGAACTTCGCAGTGTTTGGTGAATTTATACCCTAACTTTACCTAAAGCGATATTCTGGTTGTGAAAGGCACTATACTTTTTTTAAAGATATTATTATTAGGGGAAAACAAGTAAAAAGTACAAGAATCCCTTCTTTCTTACACTGGAATGATCTACAATCACCTCGAATTAAATATTTACTTTAAAAAAAAAATCATAACCAAAACAGAACAATGGGGCTCCTTAATTTTTGCTATTCATTTTGGAAACCTGATGATCAGCCTCTCTTTTGATTTACAAACATTATATCTTGTTTTTTGGTTTGCTACTGCTGTTGATGTTGTTAAATTTACAAATCATAAAGTACCAACATGGAAATATTTCTCTCCAGTGAAAAAGAACAAGCAAATCCTCAGGGAGGTGGTGACTATAGTAATGCGCAAAAGAGTCCGATTTACTAGTTTAGGCAATCACATCAGATTAAATAAACATACCTCAGAGTAGCCATGACAAATTGTATCCACTGTATTACAGAAAAAACCTAAACCAGGGAAAAAAGATAAAGGGTTTTTTTAAACATTCAACCTTATCTGATTCCTCTGTTAATTAACTATCTGAGCTGCAGAAACTCTTCAGTGACTAACCTGAAGACACGGTAGGACTGCAGACTGAGTGTCAGGGCTCAACAAACCCCGAGAAAAGGAAGGTAGTTCCTTTATCCTTTGCTTATTCCTAAATCACTCAGAAATGATAAGATTAAAGAAATAGGAAGGCAGGTTTAAAAAAAATGACTATGAACAAAGAAAATCCAATGAAGACATTAATAAAAATGATAATAAAATAGAGGAGAGCTAAGTTAGATTTTGAGAGTATGTAGGTGAAAGAATGAAAATAACAAAAATAAGGCAAACAGATTGAGATAATGGACAGAAAAAAGCAGAATAGTAAGCTATACAAAAAAAGGGGAGAGAGGAGTGTTGGTACGGAGTAAAGGTAGCCCAGAGCGTGACAGAGACCAGGGAAGAAGAGAGAGCAGAACAGAGGCAAGAACAACTCTCTGGACTTCTCACCGAGTCCCAGTTTTCTTCCAGAGGGCCAGCCTCCAGTAGCAGGGCCATAGGGACTTTAGTCCCAGTGTCCTTCAGCAGTCAGACCCTTCACAGACAAGCTCTGAATCCTGAAGCTGTGACTAGCTGGCTCCACCTCTAGCCCAGCGGGGCCCCTCCCTCCGCCACTCTGCCCTATACTTGAGGACAAGGAGGAAAGGTGGCAAGGGGAGGAGAAAGTCAAGCAGAAAAACAAAAAAGAAATTCAAGCAGAAAGTACAAAAACAGAAAGAGCAGCAAGGAAGCAAAGTTCTAAACAGCATTAGGATTTTTTTTTAATTGGGAATATTAAGGGGCAAGAGGCAGGAATAATGAAAAGAGAGAGTGGATCACAGTGAAAAAGACCAACTGAGCTGGAAGAGGGAAATGGAATAGAAAATAAGGGAGAAAGAAACGAGGTGGAAGAAGGCCTATTTAAAATTTGTCCATTTGGAAATAGACGATTGTGATGGGGAAACAACTGCATACTTACTTCGTGAATGATTTATATGAAGGAGTCAGTTCCAGGAAAAGGACTTAAGGTAGCAGAGGGCCATCAAACATAGAGAAGACTCTCCATGAGACAGACTGACCTGGTGACTGCAACAATGGGATCTGGCCACAGCAGAGACTGAGGAGTGTGAAGGATTGGAAAGGGCTTTGTTTTGCTGTACACAGGGTCACTGTGAGTTGGAGCCATCTCCATGGCACCTCACAACATTGAAAACTAGGAAGAGATTATTATGTCTGTCATATTTCTTTATTTTTAAAATACTAAGATCTTCTTACTCAGAAGCAAAATTTCCATCCAGACTTGAAAATTCATTGCTGTTGAGTTGGAACTAACCCATAGCTGGCCCTCCCAGTGGGTTTTCAGAGGCTGTAAATCACACAGGAAGGGAAATTTGAACCACCTGCCTTTGGGTTGGAAGTACAACTCCGTGTCAGTAGGGCACAGGAGTGTCCTAAATATTGTTATACCACTCACTTAATAGGAGATCGTGTGGCTTGGTGGCAAGACAGGCTGTCACCTCCTGTGTGATTTATAGCCTCTGAAAACCCACTGGAGGGTAGCTATCAGTCAGTTCTGATGCAATGGTACTTAAATAACAACTCACTTAACATACCTGTTTAAAGAATTAATTTTATGTACTGCAATATGTTATGAAGATTAAATGATAGATGCAGTCTTCCAGAAGCTAGTAATATACTAGGAAAAAGGAACTGAGAACCAAATCCTCCAATTATCTGCATGCAACAATATTGTATGCAGAGTGGCAACTGAACAGGATTTGGAAGATGTGGTGAAATTTGGACAATGATTAGGGAGAATAAAGCAGAGATAGCAAGTAGAATATTTATTTGTGTATAATAATTTATTATTTATCCAGTCACTCTTTATACAAATACTAGTTACAATATTTGCATGCCTTGAGTAATTTAAATGCATAATTCACTTACTCCTAATAGGTTAAGCTTAGTGCCTGAAACAGAAGACAAAATACTGCTAAATGAAGTAATACTTTTGCTCAAAGATTCCCACTTACAAGGGCTTGGAGAGTGCTTTCAGGTTTCTAGTTATAAATCCATTAAGAGTGAGGGTACTAATGGTGTCTCACTGAGTGGTAAGTGAACGCTTCTGAACAAAGGGCACTTGTCTCCGCCAAGAACAGACATCAAATTGTTAGTGAACAGCCATGCCAATTCAGTAGGCTTCTGTTGATAAAATAATAAACTGTGGAGAAATTTTCTCTTGTGACATCTCCTCTAAAACGTCTCATTAGCAAACATTAATCTACAAGTGGAGCCAGACGAGATGAGTAGATACAGGAGAGTGAAAAGGATAATCACATGTAGGTCTGGCCAAGAGTTCAACACAAGTGCAGCAAACATCTAGCAGAGCCATCAGTGGGCCATGATATGTAATCTTCTTAACAATAACCAAAAGGAAATTTAAAAAGTAAACAAAGGAAATGTCTCATGATCTCTATCAACATTTAGGGGCTTATTTTTCTAATTTAATCTCATCTTTAGGTGCTCAGCATTTGTCCCTTTTGAAATATCTCCAGAAACAGAATCTTTCCATTTTCCTTTTCAGGTTGTTGTAGGTGCCATCAAACCGATAGCTGATCCTTCAGCAGGTTTTCAGAGGCAGTAAATCATAAAGGAGATCACTACCTTACGCAGCAGCTTGTGAATTCGAACCATGTGCCTTTGGGATTTCAGTGCAGCATAGTTCTAAACAAGTTAATCTAAACCCAATGGGAAAGAAGGTATTTCAGTTTTTCTTTCCCTTATTTATAGGTCCCTCATCAAATTCAAACACATCTTAGTTCTTGCTTAATTTAATGCTGTTTTTTTAGGTGCCACTGAGTCAAGTACAATTCAAAGATATCCTTAACAGGCCTGCATCCTGTTCTATTCTGTGCCATCCTTATTATGTCTGACACACTTGTGCTGTCAAGTCGTTTGCGACTCATAACGACCTTATGTACAACAGCCCTAAACCCTGCTCTCTCATGTGCCAATCGCACTGCCTCTGACACGCCCATCCCGATTACCCCAGTCACTGAATCAGTCCACCTCATAGAGTGTCTTCCCCTCCTGCGCTGTCCCTCTACTCTACCCAGCATGATGTCCCTCTCGAAGGACCTGTCCCTTCTTACAACATGTCCCAAAGTATGTCAGACGAATCCCCAGAATCCTTGCCTCCAAGGAGTAGCCTGGTTTAACCCTCTCCAGAATGAATCTGTTTGTTTTCTTGGCAGTCCATGGTCCATTCAATACTCTTCTCCAGCACCACAGCTCAAAGGCATCAATTCTCCTTCTCTCCTCCCTAGTCATTGTCCAACTCTCTGATGCATAACAAGTGATTGCAAAGACCATGGCCTATATCAGGTGCACCTTAGTCTCCATAGAGACACCATTGCTCTTGAGTACTTTAGAGAGGTCCCTAACAGCAGACTTTCCCATCACAATATGTTTTTTTTATTTCCTGGCTGCTGGTGCCAAAAGGCCTAATAGGTAGGGAGTTGCAAAGCCAACCCAAACACAGGTAGTTTGAATCCATCCACTGTTCCACAGGAGAAAGACAGGTAATCCTCTCCTGTGCAATTTATGTTCTCCAAAAATGCGGTGGAGGGTCAGCTGTCAGTTCCAACCTGACGGTAATGAGTTTTGAATTTATAAGTTTTTTAAGTGTCAGGTTCTGAGCCTAAGCACTTGAATTATCCATACAATTTTTGAAGTAAGTGGCAGTATTTATTACATATTGCAAGCATCCCAAAACAGTATGTGTTACATCATCAGACTCCTTAAAGGAAAGCCAGGGGGAAATATTTTTTAATAAATATATCCCAATAGAATTCTTTTATAGTTCAGAAAGAGAAAGAAGAATCCGCTTCTACAGAGAAGATTACAACTCATAGTAACCCCACAGGACAAAGTAGAACTGACCCATGGAGCTTCCAAAGCTATAAATCTTTCTGAAGCAGAGTCCCATGGTTTTCCCCATGTAGCGGCTGGTGTGTTTGAATTGTTGACCTTTTCAGTAACAACTCAATGTCTAACTCACCATGCCACCGTGGTCCCTTCTGCTAGGATTCAAAAACTCCTAGTCATTCCAGTCTGCCAGAACTCAGAGTTGCCTTCCATTGGCTTTCCAAGGCTGAAAAATCACAAAGGAAGAGATTTATACTCTGAATTTGGTGTTTTACAATTACAACATACTTAAAATGTAATTAGACATATTTTTTCAAGGACTTAATAGCCACATACAATACTACAAATTGCATTTTCATTTACTCTTTGATTCACAACTAGATTATGGAGGGTTTTGCTTTTTGGATTTTATCCTCCTGCAGAAATGCCACTAAAATTCTCTGAGTAAAGAAATACAATTATTACAATAATAAATCATCAGCAAGTACATATATACACAAGACAGTATCTAAATGCTCTGTGTATATAACTAGTCTAATACACTCACAAAGCTAGGATGATAAAATTATTATCTTCATTATAAAGTACAATTTGTGAATATTAATTTAGTGTCAGTGTGCAGGGAATATTAAAGAGACTGGTATATGTTGAGTCACATTTATTTACTTATATCTCACTTTGACACAAATAAAACTTCAGGTGGCTTCTAAGCAATAAATAGAATGAAGCAAAATAGCATGAGTCAAAGTGGGACAAAAGGAGAAAGAAAAACATTCCTGCTGTTGTGATTTGATCTCAGAATGTTAACATGTCTTTTTCCAGGTTAACAATAACATGCAGAAACAATTTGGATTGCTGAAACAGTACCTAAAAGAACAGAAAGCTACACCCTATAATCTAATAGAAATATTTTCATTTAACTATGTTATTTTGCTTCATTGCCCATAAGCCATATTCCATTTTTCACATATTTGTAGTCATTCCACAGCTAGCATTTTAATCTGTACTCA